AAAGGCGCAACAGATTCGACATTCCAGAATACTTGGTCACGGTTTTATAATTGGTATGATAAATATATGTAGGCAAGCTTGCAAGAGACAGACTAAGAGTTTACTAAATGAAATATATACCTGTTAGGATGATAGGGACAAGAAAAGTTGCTTACACAGTTCGTGAGAAATTGTTATTAAGGTGGAATAGGCACCAGTATAAATATTGGTAAAAAATTGAAAATAACCTCCATGTATCTGTTTGTACTGTTTGTATGTATGTATATGTATATGTATATGTATATGTATATATATATATATTAATTAGAAACACTTTTTATCACAGGCAAATCCACAATTGAACCACTAATTTCACAAGTATTTTCTGGATCTGTACTAGTAGTTAACTTTGGAAAGTAGCTTGGTTACCAGTCATTACACACTATATCAAGCAGTAATTCTCAATCATAACATTTTTTAATCCAGCAACAATATCAGTTTTATTTTATTTTATTCATTAGTAAGAATAAATTGTATATGGGTCAAATATTCTTCATAATGTTATTTTATCTTTAGAAGAAATGAATGATGAGGAGGACCATTATCTTCCACCGGAACTGAAGGAACTGCTGCGTATTGGTAACCCAATGCCTGCTCCAATCCCACCCTTGAGCGATGGTGTTAGTTTTCCTTTCCACTTCAATAGAGAGCATGGCAAGCATGAAGGAACCCTGCCATCAACAGATATGCTGGACGCAATAGACGGCATTGAGCAGCTACTTCCGAAGAACAAAGAACCAGAAGAAGTGCAGGGCAGCGTTGATGTCGCCCTGTCGGTAAAATGTGATGACACCTCAATGACTGTAGCAGTTGCAAAAGACTCACTGGAGGTTGGTGTAGTCTCTTATTATTGAATTATTATCTCTTATTGAATTAAACTGCAGGGTGTGTTTTCCCCATGGTTACAAAGGGGCATATGGTTGATATTATCTGCCCTACCAATGTCTGTCCTCTGTTCCAAAGCTTTGAAGGGACTAAGTTTCCTACCGCTATTGATGTGAAAGTTCAGAGCATTTGAAAACAAAGTTTATGTATCATTCAAACATGGCCTCAGATGTTCCTTACCCCATATGGGAAAGAGATCTTCTGAAGTTATATGTGCAGTTATATGCGTCTCACAGTAAAATTAGAAATCACAATAGACACTGTTGTGTTTCAGATCGTACTTGTTCTTTTAGTTGTTTGTTCAAAATTATTTATAAGCCCACCTTTCTCCCAGTTGGAGCGACTGTAAAGCGGGATCTTGTACCAGGGATTCTGTCTGCAGGACTCTGGCATCTTACGTTCTGCTCCACTGATGTCTTTCAAGAGAAGGGAACAGCTGGCGCTTCAGATGTGGTATTCCAAGATGTAGCTCTGCAGGGGTTCGATGAGACAGTAGGCTAATAAAATTCCACCTGGCCCTATAAAGATACTGAGTGGCTTGGTTCCTCAGTCTGAACACTTACCATTCAGATACTGACTGAGCCCACATGACTTCCATGTGCGTTAGGATGAGGCCTTGTGACACTTCAGACTGCAAGTGGGGTATCACATTTTTTAAATGTTCTTGAATCTTCCTTACAAGCAGAAAATTAGTATGGGAGGACTAGAACCTTTCTGCCTGCTGTGTTAGTTTTCATCTTGCAGCAACATTGGGGGGTTTTATATTTAAAAATGTCATCCTTCCCCTTGCAGCTCCTATCTTATTCTGCTATATGCACAGAGTAGGCCGGGGTCACTTTTGGATTGTCCATCTCCTCTTACTTGTTTGATTGTCTGCTCAAGTCCTTATAGCAAGAAGAATCACGTGTGGCAGTATTAAAAGAACAGATACAAGTTTTAAAAAGCCGTATAATTTACAATATGGTCTGGACTCTAGCTGTGGATATCATTTGTATGTGTGTTCTTATGATTTAGGCTAGTGGTTACATTGGGACACAGCTGTCACTGTCGGATCCCACATGTAAAGCTAAGATGAATAGAACCCATTTCATTTTGGAGTCGTCTCTGCAGGAGTGTGGAACAAGACAGATAGCCTACACCCTGGATAACATTGTGTATCTGAACTCTGTGAGTATCTTACAGGAGAAAAGACTTGTCTTTTGCTTGTGTGTTTCAATGCTGGGCTCTTTTTAGCCTGAACTGTTGTTCCTCATGATGACCATCAAATCAGCCTATACTATGTAGATTGTTGCTGTTCTTGTGGTTTATTCAGTGTTTTAACAGTATTGGATATGAACAGAAGATGAGATTGTAGCAAGAATGCCTCATCCTTTTATGTACATAGGTGAAATAGTAGCAAACAGCTGCTCTCTTATGCTACTTCGGGAATTCAGTCTCTTTGTATTGCATCAGCCTATGCATTGAATAAAGAGCAACATCAGCGCTGTGCTCCAGCAGATGCTGATGCCTCTGCTAAGAGAAGGGGCTCAAGTCTTATACATACTTATTTTGTGGGCTGCATAAAGCATAGCAGGAAGTTGACATGTCCCTCAAAGTGTTTTCACAGACTGACTGCATTTCAGCCTTTAAAAAGAATGAAACTGCATATATACATATCTCCATATTTCACATATAGGCTAGGAAGAAGCAAGCAAAAGTGTAGTGGCCTTCGTAACATCACTGTGAGAACTGAGCATGAATTTACATTCCTTTACTCACCATGAGAGAGGGAGAACAACAGTGGCCAGCCAGTCCTGCCGATGTGGCAGTGCTTAGGGTGCTGCTAGACACTGTACAAGCCGATATTGTTTCTGCAACACCATATCTCTGCACTCCCATTACCTCAGAAGATGTGCTATCACCGGCCAAATGATTTGAAAAGAAAGGGGGAGTTCGTAGTGCAGTGGTGTCACATCAACACAGGGTGTTATAATGCACATTTTAAGG